ATACATTTCTGGAGATCCAGCTCCCTGGACCCCTCCTCCTGCCAGAGAGATGGGATGTTAGCCAATAAAGAGATGCCATGTCTCCCTGGCCCACAAAAATGTGCAGAAGCAATGACAGGGTTGGGCAAGGCTCCTCTGTCCCTGGAGCTGAAAGGCAAGCAAAGGCCTGTCATCACGAGAAAGCCCCTGGCTCCTCTGCTGTCTCATCAGCCCACATGCGGAGAGACAGCTGTGCCCCCTCCAGGGCCTCAGACATGTCTGTGGCAACTCGACCTAAGCCCAATGCTGACAGAAAAAATTACAGGAAGTCCAAGGAGCCCAAGAGCCTAAGGGATCCATAGAACCCGAAGAAGAAAATGAAATATTCGGGACAGACTTTTACTGAAATGGACAACTTCAACAAGAATAGATAAGACTGCCTGGCCAGCATGGCTAAGTGATTGAGCTTCAACCTATGAACCAGGGGTCCCAGTTCCAGTCCAGGTCAGGGCACATGCTGGGTTTGCAGCCTCCATCCCCAGAGAGGGATATGCAAGAAACAGCCAATCAATGATTCTCTCTCATCAGTGAAGTTTCTATCTCTCTCTCCCTCTACCTTCCTCTCTGAAATCAATAAAGAAATATTGAAAGAATAGATGAGTTATATTAATGTGTGAAGTGCATGTGTGCACACATTCTATACACACACACACATTCACAATAATATACCACACACTCAGACACTCACAACTCAGACACACTCACACACACATCCATACATTCACACACACCCATATACTAGTATTCACACACACAAACACACACACACACACACACACACACACACACACACACACACTTTCCTGGAACTAAGAATATGATCTTTAAAAAGTCATTAGATGAGGAGAAATTGAAACTGGCGAGATCGACGTTAGTGACCCAGAATATCACATGAAAGAAATCTCTAACAGCAGAGTGATGATTCAATAGGTTAGAAATGATGAGAGGAAAAGATAAGAGATTTAGCTACTAAATCCTGGAGACCCAACATGAGGACAATCCATTTCCATTTCAAAAAGAGAAACCAAGACCGGTGGAAAAGCAACAATAATTACACAAATTAGGAAGAAACTATCCCAAGCGGTAGACAGCTCTGAACAGTTTCGAATTGATTTGAAGAAAAGCCTCAGACCTCTTTTAAAAAAAATTCCAGAATATAGTATTAGAAAAGAAGTAAATGTCCTAAATTCTCACCACCAGATAATACCTACTTAATTATTAAAAATTAAGATATGTACAAAGAAAATTGGAAAATTCAATGGTTTAGAATCAGTGAAAGGAAAAATCTTCCTTCATCCTTTGCATTTCCTCCCCAGACTTGCTGCAAAAGGTAATCTCTTTAATAGTTCTTATGACTTCTCACTGCCCCCAAGTCTATGCATATGTCAGCACATATATCTACATAGATACTTATTTATTCATATGAATGAAAACTCTGTAGGTTAACCTCTTTGATCACTTAATATATCTTGCATATCAATATATGCCTAATTTTTTAATATTATAATATAATTTGGACTTGATGTGATTTTCCAACCAACCCCTTATTAAATGGACACTTTGATTCTATTCTAGTTGTTTTTCTCTTACAAACAGTACTACCATGAGCAATCATCCACAAAAAACTCATAGGCTTTTTGTAAACCTACCTACAGAGAAATTTCAAGCAATAAAATTACCAGGTCAAAGGCACTTGCATTTTTATTGACTAAAGGCCTTACAATATTCTTGGCAAAGAGTAAGTACTCAATAAATATTTTTAAACAAACATAATGGTCACATTGTTCATAGAAAGATAGCATTAATTTGTATCCTATCTTAAAGACTTTTGAAGTCACTATAGTCTATAGAATGGTAACCCAAAAAAGGGGGTCCCGACCCCTAGAAACTGGCACATGATCTTATTGGAAAGTCTTTCCAGCTTGAAATGGGGAGATCCCCTGAATTATCCAGGAGGCCTGTATCAGAAACAGATGACCTTATAGGAGTGGAGTAGAGGGACCTGTGACGGGCACATTGAGGAGACAGTAACGTGAAAGGCGGAAATTAGAGGGAGGCAGCCACAAGCCCAGGGATACCAGGACAGCCACCAGGAGCTGAGGAGGCCGGTAGCAGGTTCTCCCCTGGAGCATCCTGAGCCAGTGTGGTCCTGCCAACATTTAGAATTCTGGCTTCCAGAACTGTGAGAGGATCTGAGAGGGCAGGGCGGGGTGAGGATGAGCTCCCGACTCCACCCCGCAGGGCAGAGTTATCCCTAGCCCTCACCCAACCAATCAGGGTTAGCCGAGGCAGTGACATCACCACCAACCGGAGTAAAACCCCTGGACTGGGCGAAATTCGCTCTCTTCCTCCATGCTGTCGGCGTGAGTGGAAAGAGCCCATGCTAGCATGGAAGAGGCTCTTTTGTTTATTGCATCGGACTCGGCTCCCTGGTGGTCCTTGGGGATCACGAAGTCTGGGCGTAACATATGGGGGCTCATCCAGGATCCCCAGCCACGACCATGAGGGAACCCGATCCGGAGAGCCTGACTGGCCGCGGTAGGTGTGTGTGTGTCTGTGTTTTTGTGTGCACGCTCTGGAGAGAGTAAAACCCCTGGACTAGGCAAAATTCGCTCTCTCTTCCACCATGCTGCCAGCGTGAGTGGAAAGAGCCCATGCTAGCATGAAAGAGGCTCTTTTGTTTATTGCATTGGACTCGGCTCCCTGGTGGTCCTTGGGGATCACGAAGTCTGGGCATAACAGATCGAGTGCTGCTGCTTAAGCCACTAATTCTGTGCCACGTGGAAGGCAGCCTCAGGAAATGCATCCTATCATTACTGCTAAATTGGAGCCTGGTGGTAAAACAGAAAAGCGCATCTAGAGTTTGGAGGCAAATTGATTTTGAACCAAAAGACAGGTCAAATTCCAGGGTTCTGCCCCAGAGAGCATCCCTCTTCAGCTCCCCCTCCCCAACCTCCCTCTCACACAGTTACCTTTCCCACCCTACCCCCAGGCTCGTTGTCTCCAGCACATACATTATCTCTTGGCCAGATCCAAAACAACTCCACAAAGGAAAGTAAAAACAATGAACCAATTTTTCTTGGTTTTGGCATAGGCAGACACAATACTAATAGATCCAATCCAGACTTTGAGAAGGAGGTTTATAAATGCTTCGGGGTTTTTTTGTTTTGTTTTGTTTTTTCTTAAAAGCTCAGGTGGTGGCAGACAGAGACTCACATGTCTACATCCATCTAATCTTAATTGATCCAGCGAGAGTCTTTTCGGAGAGGGGAGAGCGTTTCCCAGGCTTCAGTCTCTCCCTGGTGGAGGATTGTCATGCCATCTGGAACAAGGCGGTCTGCTCCTTCACAAAAGCTGTGAAGCTCATTACTGACCAGTTCCAGCAAAGATGGCTGAGAACCATGGAGGGACCCTTGCCATGTTCCAAGCCACTGCTCCCTCACTGGCCAGGTCTGACTTAATGAAACCAATCCTGTTTAACTCTGAGAGATAATGCTTACAGTTTAAAGAGCACTGACAAATGTAGAACCACAATTCTTTTATGTTGTTTCTCACAACAAAATGATGAGACAGGAATGGGGTAGTGGGAATTGTATATATTGATGACTGTACATAGTCTTGAAAAAGAAAACCAATTTTCAAAGCTCCCAAATTCAATCCCACCGATGTCCCCCACACCATAGTGCCCCTGAGGATTGACCCATGGGGTTAGACATAAGTGGAAATGAGCCTGTTTATGTCCAGGTTCTCTCTCTTCTTGGGGAGTGAGGTGTCCCAGGGCTGAGAAGGGATCATCCCTGTGCACATATGCAAAGGGGCATCAACATTAGGACGTTTCTGGCCATCCAAACCTCCATAATCATCTGACTCAAGGTCATTGCTCATGGTGTGTTTTTGCTTTGAATATTTATTATGAAAATATCCCATGTCACCCTAGCTGGTTTTTCTCAGTGGGTAGAGCCTTGGCCTGTGGACCAAAGGGTCCTGGGTTCAATTCCAGTCAAGGGCACCTTGGCTGCAGGCTCCTCCCTAGCCACAAGAGGGCCGTGTGCACGAGGCAACCAATTGATGTGTTTCTCTCACATTGATGTTTCTCTCTGTCTTTCCATCTCTCTTCCACTCTACCTAAAAATCAATGGGAAAATATCCTTGGGTAAAGATTAACAAAATAATAATAATAATAATTTTAAAAATATACCCCATGTTGAACTCTATTTTGGGTTAAATGTGGATTTAGTCTTTACCATCAACATTGCTCTGGTCTCCTGCTACCATGGGTCTTCTTATACCCAAGAGATCATGGGAGAGCACATGTGTACTTAAAACTTATGTGTCTGAGTACATAGTTCTCAAAAGTTGGATGCCTACATCTCCCTGGCAAGTCATCAGTAATAATAAGGTTTCTGGGGTTCGTTCTCCATAGCTCTACAAAAAGCAATGTAAAAGCAGGATCAATTGTGCTTTTAGGAAATGCTGGGGAAATTCTTTGTTTCTTATGACTACTAGAAACCAAAAAAGTTATTCTCTAAAGACAATTGCCATTTCTGTTTTGTGGGACATAGGAGTAATAAGCAATTTGAATTAAAGGCGAGAGATCTGGATTTATATACTCAAATTCATTTATTCACTAAATATGTATGGAGTCCCCACTGTGCCAAACATCTGCTGGGGCTGTAGCAGTGAGCAAAACAGGCTCCAGTCGTAACAAGCACACCTTCCACTGGGCAAAGTCAGGCCGTGAACATGCATCAGTTTAATCTCTAATTTTTAGCAAAGCTATTTAGAGATTCAGGGTCGACCAGTCCTGCTGTCCTCACCCTGATGCCTGAACTGGAGTGTTTCAGAAAGCTATAAACAAAGCAGCTGGCCTCACATCTGTCATTTCATTAAATAGCCAGGAAAAAAATTGCCATGAGAGTGACTCACACCAAACCAGCAGCCTTTCAGCCACACCGGAAGTGCTAGTCCTGCATGGGAATCCTTAAGGACATGGAGTCCTCCAAAGAGTGGGGTTCGGGGAGGGTGTACATGCCCGCCAAGGACGCCTCCTGGTGCCCGGGGGACTTCTTCCACTTCCGTGCACCTGTTCTGCTGTTATATTCATACACATTCCCAGAGACTGTGAGAAAACACAAAACACAAAGAATGTAGATTATAAGGAACTCACAAAGCATTGGTTCATCCCATGGTGTTTACTGAGCATTTGCTATATAGCCAGTAGTAACAAGCTGTTTGTCTTGTCAAGCCTTGCTCTGTTACCAAAGGGAAAATGAGAAGCAAGACTTGAAGCAGTGTGTGATTTCACGTGCATTAAAAATTGCCCCTTTAGCACTAGAGATATCTTCTCTGGTGGAGGAATGGTGTTTCATCTTAACCATGGTAGTGATCATGTGAATCTATATAGGTGATTAAATGTCACAGAACTATTCCCGCAGACGTAAAAAATAAGTGCATACCCAAGCTGACCCAATCTGCAGACCAGTTCAGTAACCAGTGTCAGTTTCCTGATTTTGGTGCTGTATCTTTAGAAAACGTTGCTTTTGGAATAAACTAGGTGATGGGTATAAAAATTCTCAATTTCTTGGGAATTTAATTATTTTAAAATCAAACATTTTTTTTAAAAAGTCAAAATATTGTTTAAAGTTTCCCTCTAGTGAGGTGTGTGCCTTACACAGTGTCAGAGATCCTCCTGAGGAGCGAGGACTCTCAGCTCCATGCTGGGCCAATAGATATATGAAAAGATACTCAACATCTCTAAACGTCAGAGAAATGCAAATTAAAACCACAATGAGCTATCACCTCACACATGTCAGAATGACTATCATCATTCAATCAACAAACGAATGTTGCTGAATGGTGGGGAAAAAGGGGAACCCTTGTGCACTGTTGATGAGATGGCTAATTGATATAGCTACTATGAAAGTACAGAGATTTCTCAAAAAATTAAAAATAAAACTATCCTATGACCCAGAAATTCGACTTCTGGGTATTTCCAAAGAAACACAAAACACTCATTTGAAAAGATATATTCACCCTTATGATCACTGCAATGTTATGTACATCAACCTAGATATGAAAGCAATCCAAGTTCCATCACTAGATGAGTGGATAAAGAAAATGTGGTATATATATAATGGAATATTCATCGACCATAAAAAGGAATAAAATTTATCATTTATGACAACAGGGATGAACTTAGAGAGTATTGCCTTAAGTTAAATAAGTCAGACAAGAAAGACAAATACCATATGATTTCACTTATATATGATCTAAAGAATAAAAGAAATGAACAAACAAAACAGAAAGAGACCCATAGATAGAATAAGATGAGGGCTGCCAGAAGGGAGGAGGGTTAGGGAGCTGTGTGAAAAAGGGGAAGGGATTAAGAAGTACAAATTGGTAGTGACAAAATAGTCATGAGGATGTAAAGAACAGGATAGGGAATATAGTCAATAATATTGTAATAACTATGTATGATGCCAAGTGGATAATCAAAGGAATCACTTTGTAAATTATATAATTGTCTAACCACTATGCTGCACAGCTGAAACTAATATAAAATAATATCAAATGACAACTGTAATTAAATGTTTTTAATTTTTATTTATTTTTTTAAAATATATTTTATTGATTTTGTTCAGAGAGGAAGGGAGAGAGAGAGTTAGAAATATCGATGAGAGAGAGTCATCGATCAGCTGCCTCTTGCACATCTTCTACTGGGGATATGCCCGCAACCAAGGTACATGCCCTTGACCGGAATCGAACCTGGGATCCTTCAGTCCCCAAGCCGACACTCTATCCATTGTGTCAAACCGGTCTCGGCAAATGTTTTTAATTTTTAAAGAGTAAGTGGGTCCCACCTGAGCCTAACGATGCAACTATCCATACCAAGTTGTCAGGCATGTAATTAAGCCACTTCAGACCCACCAGGCCACACCAGCTGCCAATGAAGTTCTTTTTAATACAATAAAGACAATGACTTGCCCAGGTGACACCTGCACAAATTCATGACCCACAACATTTTGAGATATAATAAGATTGTGATGATTCTAAGCCAGTAAGTCTCAGGGTAGTTTACACAACAGTAACCAGGAAAAGAAAAAGAAGAAGAAAAAAAGTGTTTTATTTGGCCTGGAAAATGGAGTTTGTTTTAATTGAACTACTTACCTATATTTAAAAATGGGCAAATTTCAGGTAAAAATTTAGACTTCCAGCTTCTTTTTAAGCATCAGAATTCGGGCAACTCCAGGCCCGTTCCCAATATGGCAATAATTTGATGGAGCCCAATAACACTTATGGCTCCCAAGCACCAACCGCCATTGATTACTGAACTGTCTTATATGGCACTTTTTGATCATTTATTTTACCTGCCTAGACCCTGAATGATTTGCTTTAGTATAGTGTCTCATTATGCAAAGCACAATGAATAAGTAATTTATTCACATAGCTTAGCATCCAAATAGGCAAAAGGGGCTTAATTCAAAGATACCTTCAGCACAAAGGACCTCTTTTCCACTATTTCGAATGCTTAATAGCTAATTTCATAACATCACATGTACCATTTTAAGAAAGTGATGATTTAGTGGGAAATTAATGCTTTGCATCTGTATACTGTAAATATAAATGACGATCTGTTTGAAATGTGTAACTTAGATATGCAAAAGATAATAACTCACAATGTTAATATTAAATATTCCTTCAAAAAAAAATAAAAAAAATAAAAGAAAAAAAAATAAATAAAAAGAAAAAAATAAAAAAAAAGAAAAGTTCATAAACAAGTGAAAGATATAGGTAAAATAATTGCAATTTCATAAAATAGACAAATTAACTCTATGTATAATAAACAATGTGCTCCTAAAAATCAAAGAGTAAAAGACATGGCAACAGCTAATGAGCAAAGAATACTAGTAGGCATAGGTAATTTATAGAAAACAAAATTAAAATGGCCAATAAATTCTTGAAAAGATGTTTAGTCACATTACTAATCAAGAAAAAGCAAACTAGCCGGGACCGGTTTGGCTCAATGGATAGAGCGTCGGCTTGGGGACTGAAAGGTCCCGGGTTCGATTCCGGTCAAGGGCATGTACCTTGGTTGCGGGCATATCCCCAGTAGGGGTGTGCAACAGGCAGCTGATCGATGACTCTCTCTCATCGATGTTTCTGACTCTATCTCTCTCCCTTTCTCTCTGTATAAAAATCAATAAAAATATTTTTTAAAAAAAGAAAGAAAAAGCAAACTAAAACAACAATTAAAGTATATTACTTTCTCTCCATTAGGCTGTAAAAGGTTAAAACTGTATGATTCCCAGTCTTAAAACTGTTGAAAAAGGAGTATTCTTTTCTGTTTGTGTGAGTGTAAATTAATATGTCCTTTATGGAGAATAATTTAAGGGTGTTATCAAATGTTAAAATGTAAATTTCATTTTATTTAGCAATTCCATGGCTAAGGATATCTCTTAGAAATGTAATTACGCTTAAACATATAAGCAAGGATTGTACACTGTAACAGTGTTGTTTATAATAAAAAGAAATTAAAAATAAAGGTCCATCACTAAGAAAAAAAAAAAAAAAAACAAAGATACCTTCAGCACCATACCTGGATCAATGGCTTCTCCATCAAATATAGTTTCATACACAATGGTTTCCTTTAAAAGAAAAAAAAACATAAAATATTAGCAATTAATTTTGACAAGTGTTGAGTACTTTGAGCAGGTGATTTCTTATAAATTGCCTTGTTTTCTTATGTAGAGAGCTAACAGCCCTGGTTCAAAAATGTCCTGCTATTCTTTCTCTCTTTTTTATTGTATTTTTTAAAATATATATTTTATTGATTTTTTTATTTTTTTATTTTTTTTTTTTTTACAGAGAGGAAGGGAGAGAGATAGAGTTAGAAACATCAATGAGAGAGAAACATGTATCAACTGCCTCCTGCACACCCACCACTGGGGATGTGTCCGCAACCAAGGTACATGCCCTTGACCAGAATCAAACCGGGACCTTTCAGTCCACAGGCTGAGGCTCTATCCACAGAGCCAAACTGATTTCGGCTGTCCTGCTATTCTTGTCTCCTCCCAGCCCCAGCCCCCACATCAGTCTGCCTGCCATGACCGCCCTCAACTCAGATCTTCTTTCTGATGTGAAGTCTCTTATCGTGATAGGGGAACGTGAGGGCTGACTTGTGCTCCCTCAGACTTCATATGTAGAAGCCCTAATGCCCAGCACCTCGGAGTGTGACTAGATTTAAACATAGGGCCTGGAAATGGGTAAGATAGAATGAGGTCATGTCCGTGGGCCTTAATCTAGTATGTCTGGTGCAGCTGTAAGAACAGAGGTTAGGACCCAGACCAAAGAGCGGAAAAAGGACCATGTGAGGACACAGAGAAGGCAACCACGTGCAAGCCATGCCGAGACACCTCAGAAGACACCAAACCTGCTGACCTTTCCCTGAGACTTCGAACCTCCAGAACTGGGAGAAAATAGGTCTTGTTTCTGCCACCCAGTCTGTGCTGTTGTTTTTCCAGTCCTCACTCACTAGCTGAGTGCTTGGCTGGTGTTAGTGTCATAAAGGAAGACGCAGGGAAGAGAGCAAGGAAAGAGAACGGGCTCATGGTCAGTCAGGACTCAGGTAGACAAGCCTGTTAAAGGGACAGCAGGTGGAGAGAGAAAAGGGAGATGGAGACTAAAACATGCCTTCTTGCCCTGGCCTGTTTGGCTCAGTTGGTACAGTGGTGGCCTGTGGATTCAAGGGTCCCAGGTTTGATTCTGGTCAAGGACACATGCCTTCGTTGTGGGCTCGATCCCCAGTGTGGGGTGTGCAGCCAGTCAATGATGATTCTCTCATCACTGATGTTTCTCTCTCTCTCTCTCCCTCTCTCTCTCTCTCTCTCTCTCTCTCTCTCTCTCTCTTCCTCTCTGAATTCAATAAAAAATATATTTATATTTTTTAAATGCCTTCTTATACTGTTTCACATGTCTATTTCCTGGAACAGCCTTACCCTTGTACAGCTGTTGACATGGATCCATTAATGAGTGAGTATTAGCCAATTTAAAGATTTCAATACTCCAGAATACAGATTTTACTACCTGCTAAGAAACCCCAGGGTTGAAGAACTTATTCAGCTTTATCACATATGTAATCTATTTTCAAATCTAGATTTTTTTCTTTTTTATGTACTTATTTACCTAACACCACCTTGTTGTGAAAAAACAGATCTTATTTTTAAGCAGTGGTAAATAATGTTGTTTTTGCTGAATATACATGCAATATTAGCAGCAAAATTGGACCTAAGTGAGATTCTAAGACTGAATCTGAAATCCCATTTTTGTAATTCAATAGAAGCAGACACATTGAAATAATTTTATTTCTTTCAATGATGCCTAAATAGATTTACCACGTGTTTACATGGAAGAACTTTTTATTGAACAAAATTATAGAAAAACTGCAGTCCTCTTTCTTCTAACCACAAAGGGCTCATAAAAATGTACTTACTGTTAATACTTTTAGTTTTTTATTCCTGTTTTCCATGACAATCTTTTCCATTTGATTTTTATCTCCTGTTCAACAAATACATAAACAAACAAATAAATGGCAGGTATCTATCTAATGAGTGGCTTTTTAAAATCACACAATTCATCATAATCATGTGACAATGAGCAATCTGTATCTTACCTGCAATATACTTTATACCCCTGTATGAAAAGAAAATTTGACAAAATATCAGCTTTATTAGGCTACCACATGGCAAAAATAAAAATTATGTTTTGCAGCACCTGGCTATTATTACCACATCTCTCTTATTCCCAGTTTTTAAAACAATTCTGTATGGCCAACTAATCTCATTAACCATCACCACCTCCCATCGCTGAGTCATAAAGGATCTCTGCTTAGTTAATAAAAACTCATAAAAACTCTATTTTGGAGGCCATGGTATTCTGCTCCCTGATGAGCTATTTAGGATGGTGATGAAAGCATCTGCATTTTCTCCATTTCTTTGGCATCTGCCCAGTTTCATAGAGATTCAAAGCAAGTGTGGCGAGGGCACCTGGACTTACCACCTGTCCATAGTCCCCTATGGCTGTCACACATCTGCCTGTGTTGCATAATATGAAAGTTGTTTGGCTTGTCTGCTCACAAATTGACTTGTTTAAAATCTATTCTCACAGAAAACGTGTTTCAGAGGCGCCAAGGTAGACCACAAAGACACGCTGTTGCTGTTTTTTAAAGTTAGAGCAGATTTGGAGCTGGGAATGGGACCGTCAGCCTTTGTTTCTCAAGTGCGTTCCTCTGTGCCTCTTCCTGGGCTCTTAGGCAGAAGCTCTCAGTGGAGCATCACCAAAGGATTTCAACTCTTTGCATCAGAAGCTTAGAAAGAAAAACCACGTACTTGGGCTTGGGCTTGGAGACTTGCTTGGCCATCTTCTGACAGCATTTCAAGGTGCTTCTGTATCTCCAGAGCAGGAAGCATACCCAGGAAGCCAACCCAGCAAAGAGAACAGCCATCAGAGTGAAGATGAAAGGAATGTACCAGCCCCTGGAGGTGTACGTGTTGATGGCTGTGTACACGATGGTCAGGCCTTTTCTTTGCTGGGAAACAGCATTTCAAAGCAAACAGAGCATTAGTTTATGTTTTTCAGAGGGCATCTGCTTACACATGAGCATCAGTATGGAGCCGTGGTCCCAGACAGACAGTGGGGAATAGACCCTGATATGTGGATTTTTGTAAAAACCCACAGGGGATACTAAGGAATACCCAGGCCCAGAGAAGGCACCAATTTGGGGATCTGCAGACTTGAACTGTATGCAGTGACCACATTTCCCGTCTTGACTGCAGTTTTCTCATCTGGAAAATCAAGGTGTTGAACTAGGTGGCACCTGAGGTTTTTTTAGGCTTGTATGCCTCTATTATCTACTCCACACAGGATAAAACCCTTTTGTGCAGCTTGAGAGAACCGTGTTTTCATAAAAATCAAATATTCTGGTGGAAAGATGTATCATCCATGTTGTAAAAAAAAATGACTGTATTTCAAAGGACAGAAGACAATAGCATACACGAACCACACAGTCTACTGCAGAGGCTTTCTCCTTGGGTGCCTCTGAAGCTGTTCTGGGATCCTGCAGAGGCTTTGCTGCTGCTGTTTTTGAAATAACAAAACACTAAAGGGTCTGCTAAAACTTCATAGCCTCAGATCAAACATTAGATGAAATGAATATAACACATGCACTACAGTGCCTACCACATGGTAGGTGCCCATTACTATGAATAATATGGCCAACAACAGAGAGTAACATTTAAAAGTGCCGATTTGTAGAGATATTTAACTGGTAGATTTCATTGGCCAGTGGACCTTTCTGGTGGGCGGGACTTTCAGACCACCTAGACATAATTAGTTGCTTGTACTCCACCTGCAATTATCACAGATGATCACCACGGTTTATACGCACAGTTTACATTCAGGGATGCACACTATAAAATGTTGCCTGTTGGGTGGGTGGGGGAGAGAGCAAGTGGAAAGGCATTTGGGTGAAGGTGTTGCCCTATATAACCTGCTAGCCCTTTTAGATGAAACTTCTATTTACAAGAGAATATTTCCCACACAGAGACCCAAATTAAATTCCATAACTCTTTACTTCTGAACTGGTGGTTGCAGGAGGTGGCACACTGGCCCTTGCCACATAAATATCCATAATAGCAGTGCCTGTCCTAGGCTTGGTGGCTTTGCCATATTTCAAGTTGTCATCGATTATGTGGACCACGAGATGGTACTGCCGCTGCAATTCAGCTCCAGATTCAAAGTGAAAAGCATTCTTCACAATTAATCTTGGAGTATTTGAACCTCGAGTTGGGTCAAATCCGAAGTGATGGTTCTCATTTCCTTTAAAAGGGATAGTTGAAAAATTGTTTTGAGATATGTTAAACGGTCTCCTCTAACTGTCATAGGTAGCTTTTGAAACACAATAGTGATAAATAAATAACATTTCCATTGGTCTATGAATTCCTACACAAGGTTTATAATAAATTGAAGTCAAGTAAGTAATAAATTCAGTTGGTTAAGATCATGAGTCGTATCTCCATATAAGGTCAGGAGGGTCAGATTATTATCAAATTTCTCTGCCTTAATTGCTTCCCCTTCCTTTATCTCCCACTCAGAGAAATTTTATTTCCACTGTCCACTTAGTCTAGATCAATATCAGATGGGCCAGTCAGACCACAAATATCTATTGAGCCCCTACTCAGTTTCAAGTCCAGTTTCAATGGCCCTGGAGACACTGTTGTAAAACTACATGCACATAGTACCCCACCATCTAGCAAGAGAAGCAGACATGGAGCTAGTCCTTGTAAGGAATTGTCAAGGCGATTACTGACATCCATGCTCCCATTATTTCAGGTACATGACAGCAGGTCTGACCTCCAAACTTTAGGAACTTCTCCTTGTTATACTGTCTCATGATACCCAGTAATTTTCCTTAATAGAACTTTTCATACTTTGTAATTTTATAATTGCTGATCTTACCACTCATTCAATGAATGATGAGTTCCATGAATATAAGATTCATATCTATATTGTTCCTTATTGTGTGCCCATCTTTGTGTGGGTGTGTGTTTTTGTTTATTTGTTTGTTTGTTTGTTTGTTTTACACCCTGCAGTAGAATAGCACATTACAGGTGAATACTAGGAGTAGAACTAACATACTAGTACTAGTATACATACTGTGTGGCACAAATTTTCCTAATTCTTTTTATGGGGGGAGGGTTAATAAAATATTTTATTTACAAAGTAACTCTCATAGTTCAAGGATAAAAAAAATGTTGATTTGTAACTGAATAGTGGGATGAATTAATGGAAACTTTGACACCCAGGAATCACTTCAATATATATATATATATCCCAAATTTTCTACTATGTAAAAGCATGCCCCTACTCCAGCTTCCCTCTCCTTTTGAGAATTTTATTCTATCTTTCATGCCTCTCATTTAATAATTTTATGATCTTCCTCAGGCTGGACCCATCTGTTCATACTACTTCTTCTAGGCCATGCTCTCTAGATTCACTGACATCTATAGCTGCCATTGGGGGCAAGATTACTTGGTTGTAACCATGGTGTGCTGTGATCAGAAGATCTCATGGAAATCCTGAGGCCTGGGTAAGGGTACTCTGAGTATGAGGGCTCCTGCTGGGTCCTCCCACCTTACTCTGAGGCAAATGGGCAAAGGTGAAAGCAAGAGAGAAGTGCCCTGGCTGGTGTGGCTTAGTTGGTGGGTGTCATCCTGTGCACCAGAGGTTGCCAATTCAGTTCCCCATCTTTTATAATAGTATATATTTGGTCTCCAATGAGTTTTTCCCATATGTCATCTTATGACCAAAGTTGATATGGGCCTCTGTGAATCCAACAATAATGCAGCTGAAAACACCTATCCTAGAGAATCTGTATCCTATCACATGGAAAGGGGGCTGCACAAGGACAACAGCTGTTGTTCCTTGTTACTTAACCAGCAGTGTTCCCCATGCAGGTCCAAAGTCTCGTCATTGTCATTGAAATTAATGATAGATTGCTCTAGCCAGTTTGGCTCAGTGAATAGAGCTTTGGCCCATGGACTCAAGGGTCCCAGGTTCAATTCCAGTCAAGGGCACATAACGCAGTTGCAGGCTCCTCCCCATCCTATGTCCTTGTCAGGGCGCGTGCAGGAGACAACCAATCGATGTATTTCTCTCACATCAATATTTCTCTCTGTCTTTTCCTCTCTCTTTCACTCTCTCTAAAAGTCAATGGGAAAATATTCTCAGGTGAGAATTAAAAAAAAAAGAAATCATGATATTCCACAAGAGAAATTAAATTGGATATATGGAAGTGAAAAGGATTTCTTAGGGAAACTTAATGCCATAGATATGAAATAGTTTAACATTTATAAACATAGTTATTTCCAAGTTTATATCATGTCGAAGAGAATATGACTAATGTCAATTTAAGACATGCTCATGATTCAAAGGAATAAGAAAAGAAATAATAAAATTATTCACCAGAAACTATCTCAAAGCGCATTTCAAAATCTTGTGAATCTCTGTCGTGGCAGTTTAGTTTGAAGCCATTGACGTTTGTCCCAGGAACAACATTGTCAAAAATGACGGCCTTAGAGAGAGAGGGTGTGCAGACAGGTGCCTCGTCATTCTCATCTTCGATGTCTACAGTGACCTGTCAGCAGGGAGGGAGACAGAAACATCACATCCACGCCATTTGACTATTTATACACAAAATCTGAAATAAGCATCTGGGTAGAGACCGATCACTTAGGATTACTAAATTAAAAGTCTGCCATTGTGAGTTTGAAGAAATGTTTCTGCAGATTTGGGTTCTGGCTGTCAACCAACTATTTGGCTGGCTTATTATTCCTGGGTCAGCTGTGATATTCGGTGTGGCCATTAAGGAGAGCTTTGGGCTCATTAGAAGAACCTGTGGAAAACTCAAAAATTTCATAAATGATGAGAAAAGAAAAGTTGAAGAATAGAAACTGAAGAATAATGCTTCTAAAAAGTGTAATTCCTTGAACCTTTTAAATATCTCTGCTTAATGGCAAATATATCTTGAGTTTGCTCTTTTGTAACTTAGGGTCCTCCTCTGCATCATTCTCTCAAGCACAATATGTTTTTTGGTAACAATATGATTACTTCAAAGTGTGCTCTGACTTTAATCAGGAGCTCTTATCAACCTTGTCTTAATTAAAATACCATAAACTGGGAAACTGTGATTTACATGGGAAAAGATCAAAATATCAAGGATTTTTAAATGTCAGTGATCGAATGCCAGTCGGATAAGAAAGGTTATCTGCCCACTCTCAGATGAGTAATAACTTTCTCACAACATTTGCAGAATCATCCCTGGTGTGCTCGTATTTGCAAGTATTATCTTTCTAAAACGTTTTCTGTATTGTTTTAACAACACAGCTAAATTCTTTGAGAATAATTCAGTCTCTAATGCTACTTCTGTAGTTGAATGCAGCTATCTGTTCTCTTCTATATGTGGGGTGCTTTCATGTGATGCTAGGGAGATAACCGTGATATAATGGAAACAGACAGGACTGGAAATCTTTATTAAAACTTTGGGCCTTCGTCTTGCCAGGATAGCACATTACAGGTGAATACTAAGATAGAACTAACATGTGCTTGTGTGTGGTACAGATTTTGGTACAAGTGACTTAACCTTGTTTTCTTCATCTGTAAAAGTGGGAAGACAACCAAGCTCAGAATCCTGTCCACTTAACTGTAGTTCGGTCCCCATGAAAGTCAATCTAACTCGTGCTCACAAGAACACATCAGGAAACCTAATCACCACATGAGCAGCAAGCCAGGTCTCTGTACAGTAAGAGGAAAGGCACAGTGAGTCATCAAGCCAGCTGGAGATCTTAAAATTCTTCCATCCTGCCCTAGCTGGTTTGGCTCAGCAGATAGAGCATTGGCCTGCAGAGTTAAGGGTCCAGGTTCAATTCCAGCCAAGGGCACATGCCCGGGTTGTGGTCTCGATCCCCAGAAGGGAGCATGCAGAAGGAAGCAGGTCAATGATTCTTTTCATCATTGATGTTTCTTTCTTTTTAAAAAAAATATATTTTATTGATTTTTTACAGAGGAAGGGAGAGGGATAGAGAGCTAGAAACATCAATCAGGCACCTCCTGCACACTCCCTACTGGGGATGTGCCCACAATCAAGGTACATGCCCTTGACTGGAATCGAACCTGGGACCCTTAAGTCCACAGGCTGTCACTCTATCCACTGAGCCAAACCAGTTTCAGCTCATCATTGATCTCTCTCTCCCTCTATCTATCTCTCTCTCCCTCTATCTATCTCTCTCTCCCTCTCCCTTCCTCTCTGAAATCAATATAAAATATATTTTTTTTTAAATTCTTCCATCCTATATCTGTTTCTTGTTCAGTGACAAAACCTTCTAGTCATTAATAACACATACCACATCATTAACACAGCAGCATTCACTCTTGATATCTGCTAAGAATCCTTTGATGCTTCTAAAATAATTTAGAAGCCCACACACACTATCCCCCACTGCAATGCCACAAGAATGCCCTTTGGTTAACTACCTTCATTGTAAACATTACCTCCCAATAGAGGCAGCCTGAGTTTGCTCAGTTCTGCAAACCCTGAGTGACTTCAAGTAATTTTCCTAAACTCTGTGCCCGAGGTTTCTCATCTGTAGAGTGGAAATGATGATAATATTGCCTTCCATGAAGACTGAATGCACAGATGAACTACATCAACATATAAAATGTGCCAAGAACAAGAGCTCACACATGATAAATGTTAGATGTGTATTTGCAATCACTACAAACTTCTTAATCTCATGAGAATCACTGTTATTATGTGACCACTTTTCATTGTTGTTCCTTGACCATTTCAATTTTAATAAATTAGAACTTAATGGATCATCTTTATTATATCAAAACCTGAGGGTCTCTACTCACCACGGTCATCGCTGTGCGAGGATGAAGTCTGTCACAGTCCACACCTTCCACCGTGAGGTTATACTGCTTCACAGACTCATAGTCTGGCTGTGTGGTGAGCTCAATCATTCCAGAGCGAGGGTGAATCCAGAATCTTTGTATAACTTGAATGTCTCCACTAGCTATTTTGTACGTAACACAGTTTGGTGGGTAGTCTTCATCAATGGCGGTCACTCTTCCAACTTTGTAGAAAGCTGACATTAACAGTTATTAAGGTTCATTCTTGTCTTGCAGATACACAAGTTTTAAGAGCTTGACAAGTCTTTGCCTTCCAAATAGTATCATAGTTTCTCAAAGGGCCAATGTGAATGCCTTTGGACAATGAAATATGCTTGAAAAGCCCAATTCTACATGATGAAGTGGCATAAGTCAAATAATATGAGTAAACCAGAACTTCATAATATCAATAATTACATGTATTGCATGCTTATTTCCTATAGACATTATATTAAGATTAGAGGCCCAGTACATGAATTTGTGCACAAGTGAAATCCCTCAGGGTGGCCTGCAGGGATCCAGTGGAAACCTGCAGTCCAACACCACCTGCCACTCCTGCCTGTTGCTCCCACTCATCCCGCCCCCACTGTGGCTGCCACGGCTCACACCCAGACAGTTGCGATCAGAGGCACTTGCCAGCCATGAGCCCTGTGTCTGGTTCCTGTCCCGACCTGCACCTGTCTGCCTGATGCGGGTCGGGGGACGAAACACAGTGCCCAACACCGGCTTCCAGGAGGCCAGGCAGTGCTATCAGGATCGTGCCCGGCCCATTCTCCTGAAATTAGACTCTAATTGGAGTGGGGATGGGGTGGGGGTTACACAGCATACTTATAGTAATAGATAACAGATATAACAGACTTGCCCCTCAATCATTTTCTGACTGGACTATAAACTCCAGGGTGGATGGATATCAGACCTCCTCCATGTAATGAATACCACCACATATGTACATAGGACATTGTAGTTACTAATCATCAAGACCAGAAAATTACAATGAAGGAACCATTTAATGGGACTCCATCAACTGCAGCTTCACAGGATTTCTTTCACTTTGCATCTTTCTTCGTAAGGTTCATCAGTCTCTGGTGATTTTATTAAGCAGGCAATGAACACAACTCAGAATACTAGGAACAGAAAAAAACACACTTCTGGGAAAAAATAATATTTCATTATGACAAACCCAGAGTATAAAGTGTCCAACCTCAAAAAAGGTGTTAAAAATGATCAGAGACCACTTAAAATAGATTAAGGGTAAAATTGCCACCTCTATCTAGGCAAAGTTGGCATCGTTTTTGCATTTAACACCTGGTTAAGCATAATGGAAAGCCTATCCTTCTGTATATATAAAATTAACCCTCCAGTAAAATTAAAAGCCATCTTGAGCATCTTTAGCTAAAGTTTGAAATAGAGTAATTATGAAACTCTGCAACTCTGCTAGACATCTTATCAAAAACCGTTGGAAATGAAATGTGTTTTCCCTTGTGACCTGCAACCCACTGTGATTCAGTTTTCATGTATTTTCTTCTAAATCGTTTCTGTTAAAGAAAAAAAAAAAAACATTTTTGATTATGCCTACCTCCCTTCATAAGCTATTTGTCAATGAGAGATTTAGTTGCTCATTACATACCATCGGATTTTATTTTAAATTAAAGATTATAGAGTCCCATAATTTTGTTAGGATAACAAAAAAGCCTCATGTGGTGCTCAAGGCACTCTGACACCCTACGCTAACCAACAGCATGAAAAACACTGCACGTTAATGGATCGTCAAATGTCCTGCTGGACTACAAGCTAAAGGTTAGATATTCTGAGGAGAGTTTGTCTTTAGAGTAGTTTTAATTCCCTCATTTAAAATGAGCATGACTGAGCTGTGAAGATGGTTTAGTCTCCTCTGGGGGGGATTGCCTCAGAACACCAACCCTCCCTTAATTTCATTTATCCTTTGTCCTCTGGTAGGGAAGATCAAAGAATGTTTTGTGTGTGTTTTTAATGGCAAGGAAAAAATACTGGCACATCATAGGCACTGTATTGCTAGTGGTTATTGTTATTATTGGCAATACTGTTGCGGCTTTTGTCAGTATGAACCATATACTTTACATGCATGTAATTATCAGTTAATCCTCATCTCAACTATGACATTGTTATTGTAATCTCTATTTCCCAGATGAGAACTCAAGGGCACATGGAGGTTATATGACCTGCCTAAAGTCATTTGACTAACAGTGGCAGAGGTAGAATTCGAATCCAGTTCTATTTGATTCCAACTCTCATCGTTTTTCTGCTACATCATGCTGCTCCCTATGAAGATGGAAAAGTCCTCTCTCCGTTACAACAGGACATTAACCAGCCTTTTGGAGAGTAGATCACACACACAACAAGATCCCCTTATCTCTTTGTATGAATTCTCTGAACTTGTGTTCAAACTCCTGGTAACCTCAATCATCAAAATTCATCCAAAAAAGCAGATGAGACTACAAAACAGAGACCTGGACCAGAAATTTGCAAGTCTGTATTACCCATAGTCTCTGCCATTCACTAGCTGTGTGGCCCAATTCTCTGTCCCGCCCCCACGGTAAAATAAAAAGGTTGAATCTTTGCAGTCCTTCCAAATTGACAGTGCTGTAATTGAAAGTTATAAATTCTTCCCATAAGCCATCAAGAAGGTATTAAATTATGATTAAGAAACCTAGCCATATTCAACACATTTAGAGAGTCCTACCTTGAAAACATAAAATTATATTTCAGGACAGCTTCAGATTGTTGGAAAAGAAACGGACATACCATTGGTAAAACACTTGGTTCCTATTATTTGATATCTTTTAAAAATGCCAGTTTCCAAAGGCAAACCTATAAGATGGTGAAAAGATCTGGGGCTTGAGGAGGGGAGAAGGGTGAATAGGCAAAGCACAGATAGATTTTTAGGGCAGTGAAACTATTCTGTATGATACCCTCTGGTAGATGTGTGTGACTATACATTTGTCCAGACCCATAAAATGTACAAATGAAGAGTGAACCTAATGAAACCTATGAATGGTGGGTGATAATGACATGTCCATGTAAGTTCACCAGTTGTAACAACTGTACCCTGGGATAGGGGATGTTAATAACGGAGGAGGTTATGGGAATGTGGGGGCCCACAGGTACGTGGGAAATCTCTGTACCTTTCTCTCAATTTAAAACTAAAACTGCTCTAAAAAAATAAAGTCTATTTAAAAATGCCAAAAAAATAAAAATAAAATAAAAAGATAAAAATAAAAAAGCCAGTCTCAATTTTTAAATCCAGACTAGTTGCTATGAATATTGGAGGGTCAGTCATCTGAGGAAGGCTGCAGGTCTTTTCCCTGAGGGACCCTGGAAACCAGTGCTTACCCCCTGCTCCATACTTACAACTTATCAATTAGGCGATCATTAGAAACATGTGAACTATTTAACTTCTGTATAAAGACTCACCATAAAGCACTTCTAATAAAACTCCCTAGAGCTAGAAGACTACCTGAACTGGAAGAATTCAAAGAGAAAAAATAAACAAAGGGAATGAGGCTCTATCAACAAAAGGAATGACAACAAAACTCTATGGCGGAGCAGCAGGATCCTGTTTACACTAATTCAGTTTATATGCAATTTTTCTAGAACTGTCTGGTCATTTATTTGTGTAAAAGCCAAGCTACCAGAAGGACCGGGCACTCTGACATGCATTGCGGCAACCAACCGCTCAATCAGGGCCCTGATCAGCACCCCCCAATCGCCTGTGGTCCCTCCCTCCCGGTTGGTCTCCCACCCTGATCAGGGTTGGGGCCGACCAGCCAACCCTCCACATTCCCTTCCCTGCAATGGCCCACCCCTGATCAGCCCCCATCGAGGCAGGCAGCAGGACCCTACCCATGCACACATTTGTGCACCAGGCCTCTGGTAAACTATAAGATTCAACTGTTTTATGTTCCAGAACTAGGGCTATACATGTGCATTCATTTTACAGAGAGTTTTAAGGATTTGTTCAAAACTGCATGGTACAACAAAGAACTAGAATCCGAATATGTGGGCTTTTTAGGTCTAGTCTGTCCTCAGAACAGTTGTGTAATCATTGTATTGTTTGCAAGGAAACAAGCTGGTTTGAAGTAGTGGGATCTACCTGTGATGTGCTGGCAAATGATTAACAACCAACTCTCTGAGAAAAAAGAAAAATAAAGAGTGTGTGTGTGTGTGTGTGTGTGTGTGTGTGTGTGTGTGTCTGTGTGTCCTAATTCAATTCTAAGTCATGGCTTAGAAAGGATCTTGACTCTGGACCTGAAATCTGACCTCAGATGTTCACAAGATATAAATTGCATGGACAATGGCCACATTGTCTCTACCACCTTTACATGGGACCTAATCCAGAAGCAGGAAAGAAGAGAAATGGAATAAAATTATTATGATGTCTATTTGTCCATCACAAAACAAAATCTGAGACCTGACATCAAGTTGCAAGGGAGCCTTTGAGGAGCCATCAAGATGATATGCTGAGGTCGCTGCCATTCTCTGAGGGTCTGGAACCCTTAAAACTCCCTCTCCTGCTTATGCTTTGTCACCTTCCCATTGGTCACCCATTTGGGATCCAGTAAGAGTTTCCTTGTGCTTCAACATCATGGAAGGTGGGGAGGAGAGGGATCTCTTACCTCCTGATGTTTCTGGAACGGAGAATGAGTAGTGCGCAGCTTTAAACACAGGGCTGAAATCATTGGCTGGAGCAATCTGAACAATGATCGTCACAGTTACTATAAAATTGAACAGTGAATAAATGCTTTGTTGTATTGGCAGTTTTAGTCTACAAACAAGCTAAATGTGCCCCCAAAATAGGCTTGTTGGAAGATTTTAAACTATAATGAGATTCTCTCTGGTCCCAAATCCCTATTCCCATGCTCTGCATTCTCAGGGAATATAAATGAATTCTAGTCAAAGATAGATGTCATCTGCATGCCATATCTTATTTTATACAATAGTGAATATGTATGTGTGTATCATATATAGCACATACCAGTATAAGTATATAGTTATATATTTTACAAAAGGGAGTTTATTGTATTGTTCATGAGTACATCTCTTCCATTAGAGATTTTCTTGGAGTGTCATTCTCAACCCAGCATATGACATACTACTTTCTGCTTTTACTGTATATCCTAGGGAGTGACATGGAAAGAGACTTGGAAAAGACATGTTCAAGGATTGGCTTTGACATATCCTCTATGGTCTTAAACTAGTTTAATTTCTCAGAGGCCCAGTTTTTTCATCAATTAAAGAGGAATAATATCAGTTTCAATCTCCCACTTCATAGTATGTGAGGACAAAATGCGATCGTGCCCCAAAAAAGTTTCTTTACAGTATAAAAAGCTAAGTAAAAAGTAGTTTATGTATTTTACTTACCTCACCCTGATGTGTGTATACAGTGTGCCATAGAAAAATAAAATCTATTATTTATTTTAGACTAACAAGCTCAAACTAATGTACATGAAAGTTATTGAAAATAAGGAATTTGATGGTCAAACATAAAGCAAGCAAGTCGCAAAGAGGAAGCTTTTTCTAATAAAAATAAAATAATTAACATTTAATATGCAAAGCATTAGTAGTAGTTTTGTCCCCATTTTACAGACGAAACTGAGGCTCTCAGAGTTAAGTGTTTTGCTAGGTCACACAGCTAGTAAGATGTGGAGTGGGTATTGGATTTAGTTGTCTCTGCCAACATCTCCCAAAACATCTCCTCTGAAATGCTTAATACATCAAGTGCAAGATGCTGAATTAAACAATGATTTAAAAGTTTCTTTATGGCAAGACTTCATGGATTTCTGATATGTCATTTTGTGTTTTGAATGTCCAGGTATGCATTGCTCTCCACAGCTACCTGACCACAAAATTTTTGTTAGTGGATTCTCTTATAGAAATCATGTTCTGAAGAACACTTGTATAGTGTATCTCCTGAAAATCCATGCCACCTGTCAAACAAGAAAATTTAATCTGGGATCTATGGAACCCCACTTAAGAGAATCCGTGGCATTCTTTATATTAGTTGTGTTTTCCCAGGAACAGGGCCTACAGTTTTCATCAGCATCTGACATGTGTCCTTAACCACCAGGAGGGGTTAGGAAGCACTGCTCCACCGACACAGGTGATTTATGTGAAAGCCTCTATGTTTCCTTCAATAAGTCCCAGTCAGGTGCCATAAGAGCAGGTGTTGTTTCCAGCTTTGCTGTACTATGACTTTTGTTTCATACATAAAGACTCGAAATTGTGCTAATTACCCGGCCTATAAAAATAGACCGCATCATGTGTGCAGTGATAAAAGCACCTTTTATGAGCAGTTGTTGTGAATAAGTTGGTGTGTGAGAATCAGTGAGGATGTGGATTTAGTACTGAGAGATTTTTTTTTTTCTCTCCTTCTTGGAGAAAGGCTCCAATCTGGTGAGAAGAACAAATTCTTTATTGGACTAGTTAGACCAGTAGGATGAGGAACTGCAAGAAAAAAGCATTCTCTCTAAAAGATCAGCTGGGCTATGCAACAGGCTTTTGCATGAAACAGTAAGATTCCCTCAACGGGGAGCAGAGAAAACACAAAAGGAACACTTCTGGGCACATTGTCACGATGTGTTCCTGTCCCCTACACACTCCTTCTCAGCATAGTTGGGTCACTTTAAGTCTACAAATCACATTTAAAACTTAAATTTAAACTTAAACTCTTACATCTGTGAGTCAAGTGGGATCTAAAGAATTTGAGGTCTTTTGCTTAAAGTTCAGCACTCAGGTCCTTTCGTTGCAAACCTGTCTGACACATACCACCATTCCACCCTCCTATGTCCATGCAAAGCACTTTCCCACTGCTTCCAGCTGTAAGCTCAGAGTCCTTCTTAAGTCAGTGGTCCAGGCAAACACCACCAATAGATCAGAATTGGCAGAGATCAAAGCCAAACATCACTCCTAGGTTTTCCCTCAGGCATTGACCTTTTACTGCTAAGGCTGTGTCTGTAATCGCATAACCATCTTCTTGAATGTTTTGATGCCAGTTGCCTACTAGATTACTTATTACCATAAGTTTCAGATACAAAACAGACACTTGGCATGAATAATAGATGTATCCAGAAACTTTTGTGAATCCATGTTTTCACAAATACTTCTACAGCAACAAATTCACTCTTAAAGAGTGGTAACATGTAGTTGAATATGTAAATGATCCCTTGGGGCACTCAGTGTGCATTCTCACTCATACAACAGTAAGCAGAGATAAACAGGTATCAAGTGGTTGGCTAAGCTTACTCACCAGCTAAGCACCCTGCTCTGATCCACAGCACACAATCATATCTGTGCCTCAAGGTATTTTACAACTACCAAAACATGACTGTTAAATCCACACGTGTCAAAGGACCATGACCGAGTAGATTTAATCCCAATGCACCAACAGCCCATTCTTGCTCAGGTTAGCCCAAAATGGTGCAGCAGTTATGAGAAGAACAAATGGCAGAGAAGAGATTAACCAATGAACTTACATGCGTATATGCATAACCCATGGACACAGACTATAGTGTGGTGGAGGCGTGGGGTGGGGGATGGGGTGGACTAGAAGGGGTCAATGGGGGGGAAAAGGAACATATGTAATACTTTCAACAACGAAGATAATTTTTTAAGTGAGGAGTCTAAAGCAAGTGCCTTACTTGATGCTCCTTGACAAGTTTATGAAGCATACCCGTGTGGGAGGGATGTGGGTCATCAAATACTGAAATTGTCATTTCATAGGTGTGTCCAGCAGCAATCATCTCTGGGTCTTCATAATCCATTTCTTTGGCAACCTTTTGGGGGAAAAATATTTCAGGAGAAGGGCCTGAGTTTTTTAAAGTACACGTTTTAAGTAGTGAATCATTCTGGAAACAGTAAGAATATGGCCATTTTGGTTCAGTAAAAATGGCATCAGAATATGCTGAGACTGGTCCATGTGGCACACAAAAGAGACATCTTGGTGGGAAAAGGGGACCCCTTTGGTCTCCTTCCAGAGCACCTTACTTTTGGACAAAGCATCCTGGCACAATAGGGGGAAAAACGGGTCACACCTGCTTTCAGTAAAATAATTAAAAAGAGAAAATACTTTGAAAGTACTTGTAATTGATAAAGCACTACAATAAATGTATGTTATTTCTATTATGACAAGTTATCATTTTTTAAATCCTCACCCGTGGATATGTTTTTATATTTTAATTGATTTTAGAGAGAGAGGAAGTGGGGGAAGAGAAACACCAATGTAAGAGAAACATTGATGTATTGCCTCCTGTACATGCCCCCAAAAGGATCAAACCCGCAACCTAGGTATGTGTCCTTTGGGGAATCCAACTGACAACCTTTGGGTGCATGTACAATGCTCTAACCAACCTGGCCAGGGCTACTCGCCATTTTTTAAATGTTTATTAAGTATGAATAAGTTCCAGGTAGAATCAAAGGTATTAGGAATATAACAATAAACAATATAATCCCAGAGCAGAGACCTGATGACAACCCTAATATAATAACAGCATTGGCACAAAGCTCAGTTGGATTGGTCAATATAACACCAAGTACCAGATGTTTAGTAAAAACTACATTTTTTAAAATTTAGTATCTGAATACATTTATTCATTTATTCATTTATTTGAGGATATTGAGTACCCAGTATGCACCTAGCACTTCAGGAGGTGTTAATACACAAAAAAATGGACCACTCAGAAAATGGACCAACAATTAAATAAGCAGTTATAACAGAATCTAATAAAAATTTTTTAAAAGAATAGTTTATTGATTTTTTTAAATATATTTTATTGATTTTTTACAGAGAGGAAGAGAGAGGGATAGAGAGTTAGAAACATCGATGAAGAGAGACATCGATCAGCTGCCTCTTAGACACCCCCTACTGGGGATGTGCCCACAACCAAGGTACATGCTTTGACTGGAATCGAACCCAGGACCTTTCAGTCCGCAGGCCGACGCTCTATCCACTGAGCCAAACAGGTTCCAGCAGTTTAATAATTTTTGAAGAGAGAGAGAGACATCAATGTGAGAGCACAACATCAATGAGCTGCTTCCTGCACACCTCCTTCCGGGATGGAGCCCAGAACTAGGGCATGTGCCCTTGACCAGGAATCAAACAGAAATCTCCTGGTGGGATGATGCCCAACCAACTGAACCACACAGGCCAGACCAGAATCTAATAAATGTTTGACAGGAGAAGAAGAAATTATTTTGGGACTCATATCCAGGAGAACTAATATTGTTTATTGTGGGCAGAGCATTAGCCTGTGAACCAAAGGGTTCCAGGTTCATTTCTGGTCAGGGGTACATACCTTGGTTACAAGCTCCTCTCTGGCCCAGGCCCTGGTCAGGGCTCCTGCAGGAGGCAGCCAATCAATGTGTTTCTCTCTGATGTTTCCCTCTGTCTTTCCCTCTCTCTTTCATTCTTCCTGAAAATCAATGGAAAAATATCCTCAGGTGAGGATTAACACACACACACACACACACACACACACACACACACACACAAAGCTTATAGAAATAAGTGGCATTTAAGACCTAATAGATAATTATGAAAATGTAGAAATTAATTAGAGGTAGGTGATAAGTGGAAGGAGTTTTTCATAAATAAAGCAGGCATTATGTGATGCCCCAAATGTTAGTTAGCATCATGCTTACAAACTTCCATCTTGATCCCAACTCCATTTTTTTTAAATGACAGTTTGGCATTGCATTTCAAAATAAACATCACCCCAGAAAACCCCTTGGCTCCGTGCCTACGCTTCCAAAATTCACAACATATGCAAAACTCAACTTGTATTTTAAGGTGCTTGTCAAGAAAATGTTAAGGTGAGGACCAAAGCAAAAGAGAGGTGATTAGTGGCTTTCTTGGCCATATCTTCTGGCTGAAGAGAAGTGTTTGGTGATGTTTGGGTGAAGGAACAAACAGGGATTGGCACAAAAGGAGCGCTAGCAGGGAGATAAGAAAGGACTTGCCCACAGGCCTTCCAGCAAGACAGCAGAGGAAGCCAGCCCCTCTGCTGTGTCAGAGTTCCTCTTGCTGACTCTGCCGGCACCCAGCCATGGCCATGCGACGCCTCCCCCTCCTGGGGAGGACTCCCGGCAGACACAACAGCTGAGGCTCACCTGGACCCAGTTTTCAGCCATCGGCACTTGCTTGAAGAGCTGTGCAGGCCCCACTGGCCCTGAGTGTGGAGCATAGTGAATCCTATCAGGAGGCTCGTCCAGGTCATGACACAAGAGCTTTGAAACTATTGTATTATTTGCAATCACCTCTTTGCCTGTGTACCTGTTCTTTCAGAAGAAAAGTCAGTTTAGATGGACAGTCTTTTAAAATGTACTAGTTTTCACATAAACATCCGGTAGTCTGATCAGCGCCTGTGTGTGGTGCTCTGCTTATCCCGAGTCCAGGTTTGGAGCATCATCTGGAAAGCCCTTTGCCAGCAGGGCTATGCATTTGGCGAGACTTTCCTCGTTTTCTGGGAGTATTTCTTTTCCACGCCCAGCCAGGGACTTGTTTAGGAATCTATCGCAGATGTCTCGTCAATGGAGACGCTGGAGTGGGAATGAGAGCAGTGGGAATGTTCCCCTCTGAGCGTCTGCACAGCAGGGTCAGAGGTGCAGTCCTCACCGCTATGGTCACAGTGGATTACCTCCATCTCTCTGTGTCCACACACGTCTTCCCTGCGACCTCTCTGCCCCAGTGCTCACGGGAAAGCCTTCTAAGTTTAAATTCTAACAAATCCTTCAAAGACTAGCATAGGTCTTGCTCCTTTAGGAGGCTCCCCTGGATACTCCATTCGCACGTGTTTTTCCTTTTAACAATTATAGCACAACACACATAATTTAAAACTATCTCGTACTTTTTGCTGCTGTCTTAAATGTAGTCATCTCATCACCCTGACAAGATACAACCTTCTAATAGCAAAGGAGCATAGCAAATACTTATCCTGTCACCTCCAGGGACTATAGCCCTGGGTGCAGCGTGTGGTGAATGTTTGGTTAATTAACTATGGTCTTCCTGGGGAAAGAAAAAGGAAAAAGAGGAGGAGATAAATAAAAAAATTTAAAAAAAAAAAGGGTAACTTTTACTCAGTATATGCCAGCCCCATACTGAACATATTCCAAACCTTGTTGTATTTGATTTTTATAACAATGCTGTGAGGTAGGTGTCACTATCATCTCCATTTAAAGGGCAGAGTAATGGGGACCCAATTGAGACCACATGGGTGTAATTATCAGAAGCTAGATCATCAGGAATAGAGCCGGGAGCACAGAGGCAGCTGTCCTGTACAGCTGATAGCTTACGGTGGGGTGGGCTACATAGATGAGTGACAGGATGTGGATTTAGAGATTAAGCTTCAAGTAATAAAAACAGCCAGGCTGACAGGAATACAGCCCAGAATCCCTATCCAAATACCAAAATTCAAAAGCTCTGAAACTCAGGATTTTCTCATAACTTATTGGTCATCAAACATTACCTGAACTGACAGATCTTTCTTTGTCCTACTTATTGTGAGTATCCATATGTTTTACTACAGAAGTATTCATGGATGTGAATTTGGGACATTTGCATAATATATGGTATATACTATATTACCCTCCTAAAATTAAAAAAAAAAATCCTTATCCTGAAATATATCCAGTGCCAAGGGTTTCAGAAAAGGGATGATGGAACTGTGATAGAGAGCATTTATGGAACTGACACACATACTCAGCACTGTGCTCAAAATGTTATGTAAATTATTCCATTTATTCTTCAAAACCAACCTATAAACCAAGTTCTATTGTTATCCCATTTTATAAAGAAAGGAACTGAAGGCCATGGGGCTTAAATAAATTACCCAAGACCACACAGCTAATAAGCGATAGAACCAGGATTTCAAGCCAGGTCTGTGATGCCAAAACATACACTTCCTAATTGTTTTGTTTTTTAATCTTTATTGTTGAAAGCATTACATATGTCCCCTTTTTCCTCTACTGTCTCCACCCCTGCATCAGGCCGTTACCACCCTATTGTCTGTGTGCATGGGTTATGCACATATGCATGCAAGTTCCTTGGTTGATCTCTTCCCACCCACCCCACCTTCCCTCTGAGATTCTGCAATCTGTTCTATGCTTCTATGCCTCTGGGTCTGTTTTGTTCATCAGCTTATTTTGTTCATTAGATTCCACATATGAGTGAGCTCATGTGATACTTGTCTTTCTCTGGCTGGCCTATTTTGCTTAACATAATACTCTTCCATGAAGTATGAAATACACTTTGCTCAGGTCCCTCCATGCTGTCTCAAAGGGTAAGTGATCCTTCTTTTTTACTGCTGCATTGTATTCCATAGTGTAAATGTGCCACAGCTTTTTTACCCACTCATCTACTGATGGGCACTTGGGCCAAAACATACACTTCGAACAACTGACTGTCAGATCCAGGACAGCAAGGCTGTTTAGCTTTCAGCAGCTCATTTCTGAGGACCAGACATGAGACTGAACCGGATCAATGTGATGATTAACTGGCACTTAGTCAAGCCAGGAAGTACAGCAATACCAGTACCTCTGTTCTCCACTCACTCTTGAGTTCTCAACCCGGCCCACTCCGCTCAGCTCACCTAATCAGATCCTGATCGCAGAAAGGGGGATTGTCATTGATGCCATGGACATAGACCGTCACTAGAATTGCCGCACACCGCTGCTCCTGGTCACAGGCCTTGATGGAGAAGGACTGAACACGTGCAAACCCAGCCCTCTCCACATCAAGGCGTGCAGCGGTCACCACGGTCCCGTGCTCTGTAACAAAACAACAAGCCGTGCTGCAAACCAGCTCCTACTGCCGTGACTTTATCACGTAGCAAAGAAAGAGATAAAGGATGAATTACACCCTGCTCAGTAGAATTAAAAAACTGATTTAAAATGTAGGCACGATGCATAATTGTTTATGTGCTGTCATTAATCATACTATGTTAGCTGGCAGCAAAAACACAATTGGGTTTCTGTTTTTGGTTGTTCTGTTTTGTGTCATTTTGTTTTACTTAGGAGACGAGGGAAGACTTTCTAGAAGAGGGGGCTTTTATTTAGGTCTTGAAGGACATGTAGGATAAGGAAATGTGGGTGAGCGGGAGGAGATCTTTCCCGAAGAGGGAACATCAGAAGTGAAAAGAGCAACAAGATCATGACTCACTGTACTCCCTTCCACCCACCCACCCACCCATTCATTCAGCAAACATTTGCGGAATGACAGCTATGTGCCCGGAGCTGTGCTGGATACTGAGTACACCACAATGAAGCCTGCCTTCACAGAATTTACAACCTAGCCTGGGAGACAAGCAACTAAGCAAGTGTAAAACAATTCACTAGACATGCTACCAAGGAAATAAAAACTATAATGTGATATATTTAATGTCTAATAGTCAGATTCTGGAAGATGCAAGGACCAAGGTCTGGGGGCAGGCGGCCTTGTGCTTTGGCTGCAGTGTAACGGACAACAGGGAAACAAACACAAAGACATTGCAGAGACAAGAGACGTGGATTAGGGGACAAAGTGAGAAGTCTGAATTCCATTCCAAGTGCAAAGGAAAATAAGAGGAGGGTTTGACTTGAGGGAGGAGTATAATCCAATTTGACCTTTTTCCTTACAGTCATCCCAGGTGATCTGCTGAGACGAATGAAGGAGTGAGTGTGAAAGCAGAAGCCCAGCTAAGAGATTTGTGCAGGGATTCAGTTAAGAGTGGATGGTAGCTTAGTGAACTAGGGCTTCCCTAGCGGCAGGATGGGAGAGGAGGATTTGAAGGCAATGGTTTATTTGGGGGGTGATCCAGAGCAACATGGTATGGGTGTGGTGAGGCAGAGAGGGCAAGGCTGCCAATAAAACATTATTATCAAGCAAGTTACCACTGTGGACAGTTAGAGCTTACTATCACTGGGGAACTCTGGGAGCCATTGCAAAGTACACACTCAAAATTGTCCCAGATCAGGGACAAGGAGCAGGAGCATTTATGTATCAATTCTCTTCAGTATTTGACTGAGAGATAATGGAGTGGGTAGTATTTTTCCAACACTTTGAATCTGCTATTTGCGCGGGAATGGGGCAGATGTCAGTCCCCAAATAATCCCTCAAGCAAAGAAATGCAGCTATTGGCAGTGAGAAGTCAGGAAACTGAAATGCTAATGCCTGAGGGTGAGAACTGAGAGCACCTGATACCATGCTCAACCCTGCACATGTGCTAAAGATGACCAGCTCCTCTCTTCTCAGATATGCCACAGCTTCTGACAGCCACCCAGCCTCAGCCACAGCTGATTGGCTGAGAAGTGAATGACTGACTCTAGAAAGTCCAATCAGATTCTCTCTCACAAAAATTTGGACCTGAAGCAAAACAGAAATTTCGATCTGAGAAGATGCGCTGGAGGGTCATGTGGAGTGCAGAGCTGAAGTGGTCGTCAGCAGCAGCTGTGGAGAGCCACGTGTTGGGTCATCTATGGATAAAGAATTGGGCTTGCAGAGAGTTATTCAACAGAAGTTTATCAAGCACCTACTATGTGCTTCTTCCAGGGATTCTGCAAATGAAGACAATCTGATCCCACCCTCCTGAAACTCAGTCTTAGAGGGGAGACATAAACACATGACAACAACAGCACATAAGTGAGATGATTCCCAACCTACCTTTGTCAATTGCAAAGTAAACATTCCATGGATCTAGTCCAAAGGTTAACTCTCCCAAACCATCCTCATCAGTGGCCTGACACAGGCCAATCGTTTTCCCAATTGGGATTTCTTCATCCAGTGTGATGTTGACTTTAGCGTGCAGAGTCGACTTTATAGAAGTAACACTCAAGACATCATTTTCAATATTGAATAATCTTGTTGGAAAAGAAAAGGCTATTAGAGTGGTGCTTGCTTGGTGTGTATTCTTTTCTACCCCTTATGGAGATGGAGGGATAAGGGGCTAGAGGTAGTCATGGTGACAGTGGCAACTGACAGTGTTAATAGCTAACCCATTTATCCAGCACTTGCCCATTGTTTAGACACAATGCTGAGTACTGTTTCCATTGTTTCCATTTATTTCTCAGTCCCAGAAAGTAGATACCTCCCCCCCACACACACACTTTACAGATGTGGAAACTAAGCTTTTAAGAAAGTAAGTAACTCAGAAGTAAAT